GGAACAGCAGGTCTGAGGAAACAGCGTCTGAGGAAACAGCGCGTCTGAGGAAACAGCGTCTGAGGAAACAGCGTCTAAGGAGACAGCGTCTGAGGAAACAGCGTCTGAGGAAACAGCGTCTGAGGAAACAGCGTCTAAGGAGACAGCGTCTGAGGAAACAGCGTCTGAGGAAACAGCGTCTGAGGAAACAGAGTCTGAGGAAACAGCGTCTGAGGAAACAGCGTCTGAGGAAACAGCGTCTGAGGAGACAGAGTCTGAGGAAACAGCGTCTGAGGAAACAGCGTCTGAGGAAACAGCGTCTGAGGAAACAGCGTCTGAGGAAACAGCGTCTGAGGAAACAGCGTCTGAGGAAACAGCGTCTGAGGAAACAGAGTCTGAGGAAACAGCGTCTGAGGAAACAGCGTCTGAGGAAACAGCGTCTGAGGAAACAGCGTCTGAGGAAACAGCGTCTGAGGAAACAGCGTCTGAGGAAACAGCGTCTGAGGAAACAGCGTCTGAGGAGACAGAGTCTGAGGAAACAGCGTCTGAGGAAACAGCGTCTGAGGAACAGCGTCTGAGGAAACAGCGTCTGAGGAAACAGCGTCTGAGGAAACAGCGTCTGAGGAAACAGCGTCTGAGGAAACAGCGTCTGAGGAACAGCGTCTGAGGAAACAGCGTCTGAGGAAACAGCGTCTGAGGAAACAGCGTCTGAGGAAACAGCGTCTGAGGAAAACAGCGTCTGAGGAAACAGCGTCTGAGGAAACAGCGTCTGAGGAAACAGCGTCTGAGGAAACAGCGTCTGAGGAGACAGCGTCTGAGGAAACAGCGTCTGAGGAAACAGCGTCTGAGGAAACAGCGTCTGAGGAAACAGCGTCTGAGGAGACAGCGTCTGAGGAAACAGCGTCTGAGGAAACAGCGTCTGAGGAAACAGCGTCTGAGGAGACAGCGTCTGAGGAAACAGCGTCTGAGGAAACAGCGTCTGAGGAGACAGAGTCTGAGGAAACAGCGTCTGAGGAAACAGCGTCTGAGGAAACAGCGTCTGAGGAAACAGCGTCTGGCCGCATTTCGGCGCGGCGCTCGGCCGCATTTCGGCGCGGCGCCCGGCCGCATTTCGGCGCGGCGCCCGGCCGCATTTCGGTGCGGCGCTCGGCCGCATTTCGGCGCGGCGCCCGGCCGCATTTCGGCGCGGCGCTCGTCTGCATTTCGGCGTCCGGTCCTCACCATCTGCGCCGGCCGTCGCCTTTCGCATGGGCGCCCGAAGAAGGCTACGGCGACTTAAGAGCTGCGCTCCGCGCACCCGTCTTCTTCCTCCCCCCCCCTTCCTCCCTCCCTCCTCCCCTCCCTCTCTCCCCCCCCCCCCTCCCCCCCCCCCCCCCCCCTCCCCTCCTCCTCTCCTCCTTCCCCACGAACAGCAGCAGCCGCATCCTTCCTCAATCAAACGCAGCAGCCCGCATCAGCAACCGCAACGCGCACCCTCCACCGGCCTTCACCTCCTCCCCACTCCCTTCATCAGCCGCAGCAGCCACATCTCCCCCCCTCCACCTCCCCCCTACTCCCTTCCTCCCCCCACCAGCTGCAGGCAGCCGCCTCATCTCCAGCAGCCGCCACCATCAGCAGCAGCAGCCGTATTTCCCCCCCTCCCCTCCCTCCTCCTTCTCCCCTCTCCACTCATCCCCCAGCAGCAACAGCACCAGCATCCGCAATCGCACCATGACCACCGAAACACTCGCCGTCGACATCTCCACCATCGACGTCCTCGAGCTCATCGACGACGCCGTCCCTGTCAACTGGGCTACCTTTTGCCCAGAGCCTTACCAATGTCCTCGGATCCGCTATCATCAACGACTACTGGCCTCCTTGACATTCTCCTTGGCAATGATGCAGGGTAGCCCCCCGAATGTCCCGCTGATGTCTCCCCTGCACCTCCCGCCCACCCCCGGCCCCCTCGGGGACCGGCCCCCCACCAAGCCCTCTCCACTGGTCTACACCGACGACCCTGATCGCTGGGCTCGCGTGCAACACCAATATGACAAGGACTTTGCGGAGTACACTCTCCTCCATCCACGCGTATGACGCAGAGCAAGCTGCGCACGACGCCGCCAACACACTCCTCCAACAGCACAAGGACGCCACGGCTAAGTATGCTGGACGACTTTCGTGAGTACCGTCGTCGCCACTCTGCCTGGAACGTTGCCAACCGCAAATGTCTCGCTATCCTGTCTGCATGCGTTCCTTCCTCCCTCAAACGCGAAATTACCCCCTCCTCCGCTCCCGAGTTCTGGAAAGAGCTATGTGCCACCTATGACCTCCAGGACACCAACTCTCTCCTAGCGCTCCACCGCGCCTTTCCTCGACATCAACCTTGACTCCTGCCCCAACGCCCTCTCCTTCACGCGCCGCCTCCTCACCACTGCCAAACGCCTTGCCGATCGTCGCTCTCCCCTTCCCGACTCCCTCATCGTTTTGCCGCCTCCTCGACGACCTCACCCCCTTGTATGAGGCCCGTCGCGTGGCGTTCAATGAGGTCCACGCCAGCTTCCCACCCGACTCCGCCTATGTAGCCGCATGGATTCTGAAAACTGAAGCGGAGCTCCTCCGCCAGTCTCCTCCAACGGCTCATGCTGCCCAAGCAAAAGGAGGACGTGGTGCTGGCCGTGGCGGTACTTCGGCGGGACGATCGGGTGGTGGACGTGGCGGGGGGCGCAGTGGAGGACGCGGGGGTAGCAGTGGTTCCAACAGCACCGGCGGCTTCTCCCCGTGTCAGTATCTCATCCGCAACGGCCCCAACAAGGGTAAGCGCTGCCTCCAAACCACCCATGCCACCACCACATGTTTCAAGGCCCTCACTGATGAGTGGCTTGATCGAGGCAACACGGGCACGCCCCTCGCTGGTCCGCTATCACTCCACCTCCCACTCCCTTTGATGTTCGTACCCTCCCCGCCTATCAGCCCTCCTCAACCTCTCTCCACCACATCCTTGCACAGCACCTCCCTCCACAAATCCTCCAGCAGGTCACGCCCCTCCTTCCCATCCCCACAGCCGCAGCAGACTCAGCAGCCGCAGCAGAACCAGCAGCCGCAGCAGAACCAGCATCCGCATCAGTCCCAGCAGCAGCCGCAGCAGCTCCTGCAGCAGCTCCTCCAGCAGCTGCAACAGTCTCAGCAGCACCAGCAGTCTCAGCAGCAGCCCTCCCCTCCCTCCGCCTGGAGCTCTGGCCTGTCTGCTCCTGCTCCTCCTGCGCAGGCCCCCACCGGACCTCCTGGCTTTACCCCATTTCCCTCACCTGGCTTCATCAACCATGTTAGCCATGCCTCTCCTGCTATTCCTCCAATGTATCCCGAGTCTATTAATGAAACCTCCTTCCAGTACTCCGTGTCTCACCCCACCCCTCCTTCCATTGAGTTTGTCATTGACAGCGGCGCCAGTGTCACAGTCCTTCGTGATGTTGGTGCCCTCACCCCCCTCCCTAACCCCTCCACCATCATTGGAGCCGATTCTACTTTCTCGGTCACCTCCCGCCATACCTCCACCCTTCCCTGCCCCCTCTTCCCCTCAGGTTCAGTAACTGGCTTCCATGTCCCCTCCCTTCGCACTAACCTCGTCTCCCAAGGTGCACTTCAACGGGCCGGGGTCACAACAATCTACCCCGGCCACGCCACCCACTGCGACTTGTTTCACTCATCCACGGGTCATTTCATCGTCCGTGTTCCCATGTGTCCTCGCACTCGCATGTACACCCTTCACACTCCCCGTCCGTCAGCCTGTCACACTGCCTCCACCATCCCTCCCCTCCCCCCTCCCTCTTTCCTCCGCAACCTCCCTCCACCTCCCCTCCCGCCCCTCCTGCTCCCCCCCCATCTCAGTGCCACTGTCGTGATCTTACACATCCTGCCATCCTCCTCCACCACCGCCTAGGTCACCCCAACTTTGCCACCCTCCACAAGGCCGTCGCCTCCGGGCTCCTCAATGGCCTTCCCCTCACTCTCCCCCCACTCCCTCCCTCCCCGCCCCACCTTGCACCATCTGTGTCCAGAGCAAGCTCAAGCAGCTTTCTCATAAAAGTCACCCTTCTTGCGCCCCAGAGCTCCTGGATCTTGTCCACATGGATCTCTGGGGCCCCAACCCCTCCCCCACCCGTCAAGGGCACCGCTACCTCCTCGTCCTAGTCGATGACCGCTCACGATACACCTCGGTCTCCCTCCTTCGCACGAAGGCCGAAGCATCGGCCTTTATCATCGCCTGGGCCGAGCAGGCGCGCACCCACTTCGGTCGTCCCGTTCGCCGCTTCCATTCCGATGGCGGCGGTGAATTCCTCAATCACCATCTCTCTTCCTATTTCTCCACCCATGGTATTCACCACACTTACACCCTCCCTCACTCCCCTCAGCAGAATGGCGTGGCAGAAGCTCGTGTTCGAGAAGTTACAAAGACCGCCAGGTGTCTTCTCGTTCACGCCTCCTGCCCGCCTTCTCTCTGGGTTATGCTCTTCTCCACGCCGTCCTCCTCACTAACCTGTATCCCCACCCTCTCCTCCCCTCACCCATCCCCACCGAGCTGTGGACGTCAACTAAACCCGACGTCTCCCCCCTGCGCGTCTGGGGTTCCAGGGCGTATGTTCTCATACCCCCAGCCGACCGCTCACGCACAGCAGGGAAGCTCGCCTCCAAGAGTCTACCCTGTGTATTCCTTGGTCACAACACCTCCTCCCCTGACTACCTCTTCCTTCATTCCCCCTCAGGTCGCCTCATTCGTAGTCGGGACGTCATCTTTGACGAATCCTCCCCGTACTACACCTCTCCTGCCTCACCTGACCCACTCACCATTCCTCCTCGTCCCTTCATCCCCTCTGACACTGTCACCCTCCCCCTCCTCCCCCCTCTCCCTCTTATTCCCCCACCCCCAGCACCTCCTCCTCCCGAATCTGCTCCCTCCTCATCTTCCTCAGGTGACATCCTTGACCCAGTACTCCCCCCCTCTCCCTCTCACTCCGCTTCCGCTCCATCCTCCCCCTTCTCCCCACCTCCCCCCCTCCACCTCCTTCCCCCCCTCCTCCCCCACCTCCCCCACCTCCTCCTCCACCCCCCCAGGTGTCTTCTCCCCTTGTCCTTCGCCACCACCCTCATACTCGGTCCATGGATCCCCTCTTTGGTCCGCCCTTAGCCCCTCCCTCCCCTCAGGCAAAGGCACCCGCTCCAGCACCCTCTGCTTCCACTTCCGCACCCGCCGCAGCAGCTCCCGCCGCCGCACCAGTGCCTGCCCCGGTCGCCGCACCCGCAGCGTCAGGATCCGCCGCAGCAGTTGCCCCGGTCAAGCAGCCGTGCAGCCGAGTCGCAGAGTCGCAGTGTCGCAGCCTCCCCCCTCAGCAGCGCAGCAGACTTGCAACACCACCCTCCCTTCCTCCTCCTTTCTCTCCCCTCCTCATCGAAGACTCCCATGGTGAATTTCTTCGCCTCCACCTCTTCTCCAACACCCAAGCAGTCGCCTTCAGCATGACCGGCGCTCCGGTACTGGTCTTCTCCGGTGCGCCCATCATCTTCGAGCCGGGAGATTATCACGAAGCTATGACATGCCCCGACCACCCTCATTGGGGCAAGGCAGTCCTCAAAGAGAACGAGGCCTTTGTCCGCAACGGCACCTTCATCGACGTACCCCGCCCTCTCAACCACAACGTGGTCAAAGGCAAATGGGTATTTCGGGTCAAGCTCCTCCCTGGCGACGACCCGGTCTATAAGGCCCGCTACTGCGCCAAAGGATTTACGCAGCGGTACGGCCATGACTTCCTTGACACGTACTCGCCGACCGCCACTCCCCCTGTCGTCCGCGTGTTCTTGGACTTCGTTGGCCGGCGCGGCATGATCCTGCACTCGATGGATGTCACCACGGCATTTCTCCAAGGTGAACTCCATGAGCGCATCTTCATGGAGCGTCCCGAGGGCTGGCACCTCCCTTTCCCTCCCAACACCGTTTGGGAACTTCGCCGCCCGGTCTACGGCCTCAAGCAAGCTCCTCGGGAATGGCATGCCAAGCTCTCGAGCACTCTCCGTGCTCTTGGTTTTCGCCCTTCCCAGGCTTCCTCCTGCCTCTTCCTGCGCACCTCCCCCTCCCTCTTCTATATCCTCGTCTACGTCGACGACATGCTTCTTGCTGCTGACAACGAAGCAGACCTACAACAGGTCAAGGATGAGCTGCAGAAGCGCCTCCTCTGCAAGGACCTGGGGGAGGTCCGCAACTACCTCGGGATTGAGATTTCTCGCGATCGTACGGCCAGGACCATCTCCCTCTCTCAGGCATTCTACCTCGAGAAGGTCCTTGAACGCTTCGAGATGGCCACGGCCAAACCCGTCTCCACACCCCTCCAAGTCGGCCACCAGCTCTCGCCGACAACCACCCACGGTTCCTCCACCAGTCCTTACGCTGAGCTGGTCGGGTCCCTGATGTACGCCATGATGTGCACTCGCCCCGACCTCGCCTACCCTATCAGTGTCCTGGCGCGCTTTGTCGGCGCTGGCAAACACACTCCCGAGCACTGGCAAGCGGCCAAGCGCGTTCTCCGCTACATCAAAGGCACCAAGGACTATGTCCTCACCTTGGGCGGCCCCACCCCTCCTCAGCTCACTGGCTACAGCGACTCCTCTTGGGCAGATTCTCAGCCCGATCGTCGCAGCTCACAGGGGTATGGTTTCTCCCTCGGGAGCGGCCTCATTTCCTGGCGCTCCACCCGCTCCTCCTCGATCGCTCTCTCCTCCTGCGAAGCAGAGCTCTACGCCATCACCATGGCGGCCCAGGAGGCGCGGTGGCTCAGCTTCCTCCTCGCTGAGCTGGATGCTCCCCAGCCCTGTCCCACCATCTGGTGCGACAATGCCAGTACTATCCACCTCACAAAGGAAGCCGTTTTCCATGGTCGCTCCAAACACATCGAGCTCCGACACTACTTCGTTCGTGAGCTCGTCCAGGCTGGACACCTCACCGTGCGCAAGATTGACTCTTCAGCCAACCTTGCCGACATCTTCACCAAGGCCCTCCCTCGTCGTCCCCATGCGGCTCTCCTTCGCCTTCTGGGTCTTGCCCCTCCCTCACAGGGGACTACCTGATTCAGGGGTTGCTTCTCCTCCCCTTCCCAAGACTTATGGCACTCTGTAGGCTAAGGGGTTGTGTTAGACTATTCTCCCTTCATTCTATTAGCCTACATCGTTTCATTGTCTTAGGAACTTATAAGCACCCCACTAGGGTGTATACACCCAAGTTGGGGGTTGGGTTCCCAACCTTGTTGGGTTCCCAAATTGGTTGGGCTCCCAATTATTGGAACCCCCAATAATCCCAACCAAGATTATTGGACCCACCAATAATCTTGGCTAGGATTATTGGACCCCCAATAAGTTGGCCAACTCAACTTATTGGGGTCACCAATAATCGTGGTCACCTCCCAACCAAAACCCCCCCCCCTCTCTCCTACTCCTCACCTATGTATACCCACTCCTTTCCTAATACAATCATCACTTCAGATTCTCACAAACAGCGTCTGAGGAAACAGCGTCTGAGGAAACAGCGTCTGAGGAGAAACAGCGTCTGAGGAAACAGCGTCTGAGGAAACAGCGTCTGAGGAAACAGCGTCTGAGGAAACAGCGTCTGAGGAAACAGCGTCTGAGGAGACAGCGTCTGAGGAAACAGCGTCTGAGGAAACAGCGTCTGAGGAAACAGCGTCTGAGGAAGACAGCGTCTGAGGAAACAGCGTCTGAGGAAACAGCGTCTGAGGAGACAGCGTCTGAGGAGACAGCGTCTGAGGAAACAGCGTCTGAGGAAACAGCGTCTGAGGAAACAGCGTCTGAGGAAACAGCGTCTGAGGAAACAGCGTCTGAGGAAACAGCGTCTGAGGAAACAGCGTCTGAGGAATGGGCGGGCGGAGAGCGCAGGCCGGCGACGACCGACGTGGCAGCGATACCTGCGAGGCTGGTGGGGAGGGACGGGCGGAGAAAGATGAGTCACTATGTGATGGACCACCATGCCATGCACCACCATGCCATGCACCACCATGCCATGCACCACTGTGCCATGCACCACCGTGCCATGCACCACCATGCCATGCACCACCATGCCATGCACCACCGTGCCATGCACCACCATGCCATGCACCACCGATGCCATGCACCACCATGCCATGCACCACCATGCCATGCACCACCATGCCATGCACCACCATGCCATGCACCACCGTGCCATGCACCACCATGCCATGCACCACCGTGCCATGCACCACCGTGCCATGCACCACCGTGCCATGCACCACCAGTGCCATGCACCACCATGCCATGCACCACCATGCCATGCACCACCGTGCCATGCACCACCATGCCATGCACCACCGTGCCATGCACCACCGTGCCATGCACCACCGTGCCATGCACCCACCGTGCCATGCACCACCGTGCCATGCACCACCGTGCCATGCACCACCGTGCCATGCACCACCGTGCCATGCACCACCGTGCCATGCACCACCGTGCCATGCACCACCGTGCCATGCACCACCGTGCCATGCACCACCGTGCCATGCACCACCGTGCCATGCACCACCGTGCCATGCACCACCGTGCCATGCACCACCGTGCCATGCACCACGTGCCATGCACCACCGTGCATGCACATTGTGCCATGCACCACCGTGCCATGCACCACCGTGCCATGCACCACCATGCCATGCACCACCATGCCATGCACCACCATGCCATGCACCACCATGCCATGCACCACCGTGCCATGCACCACCGTTGCCATGCACCACCATGCCATGCACCACCGTGCCATGCACCACCGTGCCATGCACCACCGTGCCATGCACCACCATGCCATGCACCACCGTGCCATGCACCACCGTGCCATGCACCACCGTGCCATGCACCGTGCAACCATGAAGCGCCACATGCCACAGGAGGGCTGTCAAGTGACCAGAAGGTAAACATGTGAAGGCGAGTGAAGGCGAGTGAAGGCGAGTGAAGGCGAGTGAAGGCGAGTGAAAGTGAGTGAAGGCGAGCGAAGTGTGAAGGCGAGTGAAGCGAGTGAAGGCGAGTGAAGGCGAGTGAAGGCGAGTGAAGGCGAGTGAAGGCGAGTGAAGGCGAGTGAGGCGATGAAGGCGAGTGAAGGCGAGTGAAGGCGAGTGAAGGCGAGTGAAGGCGAGTGGGGAAGGCGAGTGAAGGCGAGTGAGGCGAGTGAAGGCGAGTGAAGCGAGTGAAGGCGAGTGAAGGCGAGTGAAGGCGAGTGAAGGCGAGTGAAGGCGAGTGAAGGCGAGTGAAGGCGAGTGAAGGCGAGTGACGGCGAGTGAAGGCGAGTGAAGGCGAGTGACGGCGAGTGACGGCGAGTGAAGGCGAGTGAAGGCGAGTGAAGGTGAGGAAAAAGTGAGGGACGGTGAGGAGCATGTGAGGTCGGCTGCAACGAAGCGCAGTATCCCGGTAGGCTGAACGAAGCGCAGTGGAAAGCTGATTCACCCCTCCCCATCCCCCACAAAGGCATCCCCAAACCACCCCCCGCTCGGAGCCATTCACCCCTCGAACCGCCCCCCACCCAGAGCGTTCCCCCCCAAAGCCAACCCCCCAAAGCCATCCCCCCAAATCCATTCCCCCAAATCCATTCCCCCCAAATCCATTCCCCCCAAATCCATTCCCCCCAAATCCATTCCCCCCGAATCCATTCCCCCCAAATCCATTCCCCCAAGCCATCCGCCTCCAGACGTGACTGGTTCATGATCCGCACTCCTCCGCTTCCACACACGGTCGATCTAACCTCACCTCCCCACGCCCTCCACTCTCACCTCGTTTCACCTCACTCACCGCACTGCACCTGGTGGCGATGCTCCAATGTTCGCAATCATAGCTCTGGGACCTTCTGCCCTTGCATGCCACAAAGAATGCGAGCAGCAGGTCCCCCAGGAAGGAGACATTCCCTGCACTCACCAAACCTCACTGCACCGCACCTCTGCACCGCACCTCTGCACCTCACCTCATTGCAATTCACCTCATCCCACCGCACTGCACCGCACCTCACCTGGTGGCGATGCTCCAGTGGTCGCACACGTAGCTCTGCGTCCGCCTGTCCTTGAAGGCGACGAAGAAGGGTGAGCAGCAGGTCGGCGAGGAAGAAGGCGTTGATGATGTTATCCGCCATGGCCAGGCCCGGCGGCAGCACGGGCAGGAAGGAGAACTCGAGGGGCGTGATGAAGGCGGAGTAGAAGGACAGCACGAGGACCAGCTGCTGCCACAATAGTAGGTAGCTGGGGAGGGGGAAGAGAGGGAGAAGGGGAGGGAGGAAGCATCAGAAGGCATTGGAGCGCCTCAAAAACACGGGCAGGAAGGAGGAACGAGCTGCTGCCACAGCAGCAGGTAGCTGAGTCGAACGGAAAGAGCGAGGCGGAGAGTGGATGGGAGGAGGAGAAAAGGAAGCGGAAGGACAGGGAACCGGACTGTGAGATGTGTCAGGGCAGGGGGAGAAAGAGCTGCTGCGGCAACAGCAGGTAGGTGCAGTGAGAGAGTTGAGGTTGAGGGGGGGTAGGAGGAACGAGGCGGTTGCGTTGATGGCAAGGGGTGGGCCATGGAGGGAGACGAGGATGGGAGGGGCGGAGGGGCATGGCAGACGGAGGGAGGGGATAGAGGAACCCCACAAACACTCAACCTGCTGCCATGCCACTAGAATATCACCTTCCCCGGGCCTGCCTGATTCTGCCACGCACTCACCCATTGTCCGGCGCCACCACGGCGCTACCCAGCACCTCTGTGGCGCGCATCTCCTGCAGAAAGGCCCTGCCCTGCAGAACGTGTCGGACCGTGACAGGGCCTTGGCCCTGCCTCATTCTGACATGCACTCACTATCGTCGGTCACTCACCCATTGTCCGGCGCCACCACGGCGCTGCCCAGCACCTCTGTGGCGCGCATCTCGCGCAGAAAGAATGTGTCGGACCGCGACAGGGCCTTGGCCCTGCCTAGCGTTGCCGAGCCTTCAGGTCGGAGCCCCGAGCCTACGCTGCTGGCTCGGCTGTCGGAGGGTGGGAGGTTTGCTGCGCTCTGCGAGGCCATGCGGGAAATGGCGAAGGCTGAGTGCGTGGAGCCCCGTGAGGGGCGACCCAGGAGGGTCTGGGAGCCCCAGTGCAGAAACTGATATGGGGGGGGGATTGGGGGAGGAGAAGGGAGCACATGAGGGGGTGAGTGTGCTGCCCCGTGCGAGCGAGGCCATGCCAAGGCGCAGTGGGTGGAGCCCCTGAGGGGCGTCCGAGAGGCGTGTAGGACGCCCCTAGTGCAGGAACTGGGGTGGGGAGTGCCGGTGCGGTGGGGTGTGCGGAGGAGAGTGTGAGGTGATTGACGGGGGACCCAGCGGTGAGAGGGGCGTGCAGTGCAGGAACTGAACTGACACGGCAGCCTTCCCACGAGCAGGAGGAGTGAGGTCACCACCACCAGAATGGATGACGTCATTGATTGTGTGCTGCCTCATCACAACTTGCAGTATTCTGCTCCCACTACCCCTCCACTCTGACACGCCCATCCGACACGCCCACAGACACGTCATCTGACACGCCACCTGACACGCCATCTGACACGCCATCTGACACGCCATCTGAGACGCACGCCCATCTCACAGGCCCTCTCTGCAGCTGCAGCAGCTGCCAATGGCTGTCGGTCTGTCGAGCTGCAGAGGCACTTATCTGCACGGACTGTCCCTGGGACTTGCCGGTTGCTTTGCTGCTGCTGCCGGTTGCTGTGCTGCTGCTGCCGGTTGCTGTGTGCTGCTGCGGGTTGCTGTACTGCTGCTGCCGGTTGCTGTGCTGCTGCTGCCGGTTGCTGTGCTGTTGCTGCCGGTTGCTGTGCTGCTGCTGCCGGTTGCTGTGCTGTTGCTGCCGGTTGCTGTGCTGCTGCTGCTGCCGGTTGCTGCTGCTGCTGCGCCGTTGCTGTGCTGCTGCTGCCGGTTGCTATGCTGCTGCTGCTGCCGGTTGCTATGCTGCTGTTGCCGGTTGCTATGCTGCTGCTGCTGGCGGTTGCTATGCTGCTGCTGCCGGTTGCTTTGCTGCTGCTGCCGGCTGCTATGCTGTTGCTGCCGGCTGCTATGCTGCTGCTGCCGGTTGCTATGCTGCTGCTGCAGCCACCCGTAGGTTCTCTGTGGTGAGACAAACAGGAATCAACCTATCCCAGCGGCGAC